TGGCGTAAGATTTGGGAAAGGGCTGTGTTTTTCTTTCAATGAAGAATGATTGAATACTTCTTGTATTTCTCTCTTCTCATTACTTTTGAAAATCACAAAAACCTTGCATTTATATAGTGCACATGAAACCCTATTCCAATAAGGAATAGACTTGGGCTCCAACCCAAACAGCCCCTATATCCAAACACTCCCAATCATGATATTTTATTTTAATTATTATTATTTCCAATTAAACTCAATTAATATATTTATAGAAATATATTAACATTTAATAATAATAATAATAATAATAATAATAATCCATTTAAATATATGTGTACATATATTTAAATATAATCTCACTTATTTAATTTTAATATCAAATTAAATATAGGCAGTAACCTCAACAAATTTAATTGCACTGTGAGATTACCAAAATACATTTTCACCCTAAAAGATGAAAACACCCCTTGCACAAACTGATTCTTAAATTATCTTCTATGTGTGTGACCCATAGGCTCCTCATCATACCAGCAATGTGTAGTATTGTGATTAACACCAATTAATCGTCTCACTACACACAGACCAAGATTAGCCCCTAACAAGGCATCATGGCCACCCGATAGATTCGGATTCAGCGAAGCAGCTACCTATCAATGATATGGCTACTGTGCAATCAAATCCTTCCATCATCTGTTATCTCATCGAGACTGAGGTACAGAAATAGTGTCAACCTCAATTACTCTCGATATATATGTATTCAGTTGTTGGACCAATGACTGTAACAATAAATTAGATTGAACAACAACTCAATCTCACTGTGGCCACAGTTTTAGTGTCATTGCCATTTACTGAATTGTGTCGTGAGATAACTTCTCCCGTACCGAGGAGTGATGAATCCTCTGTCGATCTACCATAGTCTTGATACACTCATCGATGCAGTCAATCACTACCGTATTAACAGCTCTGAATAAAACTTCATTGGGCTAGTGACCAATCGGTGCACAAGGCGCTCTGGTGATCTCAGCGTCGAACGTTGTTGCTATCGACTCCAGTGTAGGATCGAACCTGCGTATCCCCCAAACAATCTAACTAACAAAGAGGGATTTGCTAGATCCTCTTTGGCTTCAAGAGTAAGAAGAAAACAAATCAATGACATTGATTCCAAAGCCAATCAACTGCCGGGGAATGGTTTTCAAAAGGTGCTGCTTTGTGTTTTTTGTTTTAACAAGAAAAATCGATTATAACAAATCACACACTTTTCTATTTATAACTTAAAACCATTTTCCCTAATCCCATACGGAATGCTTGGGCTCAACCCAAACCCCCATGTTGCCAAACACTCCCAATTTGAGTTCTTTTATTTCCATCATTATCTCAATTAAATCAATTATATATAGATATATATATATAGATCTATATATCTATATATATATATATTATATATATATATCTCTATAATAATATATAATATTATATATTATATGAGAATATCTATAATATATATATATAGATATATATATACTATATCGAGATTATATAGTATATATATTACATTTAACATAATGAGAGTATTTTAAATATTTGTAACACTATATTTAAACGTATTTCACCTTCAATCTAAAAGAGATTGAAGTTACACAATGCATAATCCTTTGCCCCCATTTGTCGCAAAACCCAAAAACTTTTAGAATAGCTTACAAAAAGTCCCATTTAAGTTTGTCATAGGTGTTGTTCATATCAAGCTTCACCACCACTTCTCCATGCTTGCCCTTAGTCTTTTTCCTCACATAGTGAAAAACTTCCTAAACAATAACTATGTTGTCTTGAATTAACCTCCCCTTTAAAAAAACACTTTGATTTTGAGAAATCAGAGTATTCATAAGAGGTTTAAGACAATTAATTAGCACTTTTGCAATCACTTTATAGATGAAATTTGAATAGCCAATGGGCCTGTACTAGCTCATAAATTCAGGGCACTCAATTTTTGGAATAAGTGCAATAAAATTCTTATTTACCTTGGTAGGAAAATAGCCATTCTCCATGAAGTCTTCAACAGCTTTGCATATGTCATTCTTCATTATATCCCAATGTTTTTTTATAAAAAAAACCACTAAAGCCATCCGAATCCAGAGATTTACAAGCACCAAGTTCAAATACCGCTTTCTCTACTTCATAAATGGACCACTGGTTGAGACAGGTCTTCATTATTTCTCTCGGTGACAAAGAAGGAATGTAAGCCAACACTTGGGATAGATCCCTTGTTTCAGACTTTGAAAAGAAATTTTGAAAATATTCTTGGAAGTTTTGTGTAATTCGGATCTCATCTTCCTCCCAAACACCATCATCCTTCTTCAATCTAACAATTCTATTCTGAGTTCTTCTTTGTAAAGCAATCGCATGAAAGAATTTTGAATTTTTATCCCCATAATTAAGCCACTTGACCCTTGCTCTGGCTCCCCGGTACTTTTCCTCTTGGTCCCATAAACTATAAATTTTCCGTTCAAAATCTTTTATTTCACTCAACCTGAACTTGGCATTGTCAGCATTATGAAGTTGCTTGAGTTTGCTTTCTAAATGCCGAATCTCCCATTTAGCATTCTTGAAAGTTTCTTTGTGCCATTGAGACAAGTTGCATGTGCTTTGGCGCAAGCCTTACTGGACTTTTTCCCAAATACTACCACTTTCTTCATTTTGCCAGACTGCTTTTACAACTTCATTGCAAGCTTCATATTCTACCCAAAAATGCTCATATCGAAATGGGGCTTTATTTTTCCTGTTCTCTGAATTTGTCCGCAAAATTAAAGGTCCATGGTCAAAGGCAATAGGAGGATTAATAGTGAGTGTAGTATTAGGATAAAGCTGCCTCCATGGCCAATTCGCTAGGCCTCGATCAATTTTCTCTCTAACAAGGGTTGAGCCTTCTCTATTATTAATCCAGGAATACCTGCAACCTACAATCTCTAAATCTGATAGATGAGCACGACTACAAAATTCTCTAAAAACATAAATCCTCCTCTATAAGAAAGGCCAAACACCATCTTTCTCATTATGAGACAAAAAATCATTGAAATCTCCAATGCATAACCAAGGCTTGTTATGACTTGGTTGTAAGTGCAATAAAAAAATCCAAAATAATTGTCTTTGATTAAACACAAAGGCGCATAAACAAAAGAGGCTTCCTAGCATATATTTATTGATTTTTCAACTAAGGATACATGAATTACATTGGAGTTAGACTCAAGAACATTTACATCAACTTCAAAATTCCAAAATAAACATGGACACACATTAAAAATAAAAGTGAGGGAGTAAACTGGACACACATGTCCTTGAGCAATTGAATTGTTGATGAGGCCCCCACCCTTTGAGAGTTCTAGCTGACAATGATCATGTTAGTAAACGGTCCCGTATACGCAGCGGAAACGAAAAATAAAATAACAGGATCGTTTACATGAGCCAAGATCAAGGGTATGATTTTAACAATTTATATTAAATAAAATCTGCATAAATATACAACATGAGTTAAGAGAAACAAACGCACGTTGAAGGCTCCTCCAAATTTGCCTGCAACCCATGCACTAACATATTAGCTTCTCTATGGGTCTACTGAAACTCAACTGAGGAACAACTATGGGCAAGGTTTTGTATATCTCTCACAATACCATCAATTCCAAAAAACTTTCCTTCTTGTAGGCCATAATAGATCTAAATAGTTTGTTTCTAGTAAGACCTTACTCAAACCCAGATTGGCTGCCAAAACTATAGCTTCTCTAATAGCTAGCGCCTCTGCTACAAGGGGTTGTAACGAATTTTTTTTTCTTGCCCCATTACTATATACCTCTATCGTCCCTTATTACAATTCCTATCACTCCATTATGAGAGTGCTTCATAAAGATGCACCACAATGATTTTGAACAATCGGTGGGGGGTTTTGGGGGGGGGGTGCGGGTGGGGGCCTCCAATTTTACAAACTGAGGTAGAGGTTGGGTGCTCAATCACGTTAACGGAAGGCTTGCAGGATTTGACTTCCATATTTAGCATATACTTGTGAGTTGCCTGCATTGGATTAATTTTTGCTCCCAAAACACCACTTCATTGGCATATTCCAATTACCCAGCAAAGATTGCTGATAAAGGTGGCACTTTCTGGTTTTTCCAAAGATGATGACAACATCAAGAATTTTTCCAGCAACCAGTCTTCTAGTTGAGAACCTGTAGGTTTCTAACATCCCAATGGAAATCAGTGGCAAACTAGACGGATGAGTCCATGCGCATCCCATAAATAAGATGTTCCATAGACTCTACAACATCATGGCATATGGGCACAAGGAATCTGAAGCTATTTTCTTCTTAAATAGATTTTCGTGTCGAAATGCATTATTACAAAGTTGCCATATAAACATTTTTATTTTTGGCAATGTCTGTAAGCCTAGATCTCCTTCCCAATCGTTTGTCAACCACTTGGGATGTTGATGTATTTTTATTTTGCTGGGAAAAGCCTCCTCCCTGGATTGGTGGTAACTGTCTCACATCATAGATTCCATTGGACTTGTGAGGCCAAACAATTTGGTCAGGATCAGAGTTCCAAATACTGGAATAGCTGCCACCTTTTTTGCATTTTCCGCCCCATAGACTTCAACTAATTTATGATGATCAAGATCTACCAATTGAAGAAAACAACCCTTCACTTTCTAATTGTTTGTACAATAGGTTAATGTTTGCATTCCTGGTGGCATCCAATTGTCATCCATAATTTGAATAGAGTTGCCATTATTCACCTTCCAAATGCTTTCTCCTTGAGAGGTTTATGCCAAAAACAAACTCTTCAACTTAAGAACTATTCATTTTTGCATTTTGCAGTGTGCTCCAATTATTACAAACTGAGGTGGAGGTGGGGTGCTCAACACGTTAATGGAAGGCTTGCAGGATTTGACTTCCATATTAGCATTTTAACTGTTGAGTTGCCTGCAGGATTAATTTTTGCTCCCCAAACCACCATCATCGCATATTACAAATTACCCAGCAAAGATTGCTGATAAAGGCTTTAGCACTTTCTGGTTTTTCCAAAGATGAGACAACATCAAGAATTTTTCCAGCAACCAGTCTTCTAGTTTGAGAACCTGTAGGTTTCTAACATCCCAATGGAAATCAGGGCAAACAGACCGGATGAGTCCATGCGCATCCCATAATAAGATGTTCCATAGACTCTACAAATCATGGCATATTGGGTACAAGGAGTCTGAAGCTATTTTCTTCTTAAATAGATTTCGTTGGTCGAAATCGCATTATTACAAAGTTGCCATATAAACATTTTTATTTTTGGCAATGTCTGTAAGCCCTAGATCTCCTTCCACAATCGTTTGTCAACCACTTGGGATGTGATGTATGTTTTTTTGTGGGAAAAGCTCCTCCCTGGACTGGTGGTAACCTGTCTTCACATCATAGATCATGGATTGTGAGGCCAAACAATGGTCAGGATCAGAGTTCCAACTTACCGGAATAGCTGCCACCTTTTTTGCATTTTCAGCCCCATAGACTTCAACTAATATTGATGATCCTAAGATCTACCATGAAGAAAACAACCCTCACTTTCTAATTGGTTGTACAATGGGCTTAATGTCTTGCATTCCTGGTGGGCATCCAATTGTCATCCATAATTGAAGAGAGTGCCATTATTCACCTTCCAAATTGCTTTCTCTTGAGAAGGTTTATGCCAAACAACAAACTCTTCCAACTCTAAGAACTATTCATTTTGCATGTTGGCTCCCAAAGTTTTTTTTTTGAGGGAAATATATGGCTTTCAAGTTTTGTACCCATAACATATCAGGAGTCAATAAATTCTCCATGCTTGTTACTCAATAGAGCCTGGTTCATTTTGTATAAATCCTTGAATCCTAGCCACCTTCTTTCTTGCTCTTTGATACTTTTTCATCCAACCCAATGAATTCTTCCTTTCCTTGTTTTTTTCCACCAAAAGTTAGTCACACTCATGCAAATTTAGCACAAAAATGCTTAGGGAATTAAGAATGGACATAGCATAGTTAGTATGGATGTGTAAGACAACTGTAATAAGCACTTCTTTACCAACAATGCAAGAGTTTTTCTTTCCAGCCCTCGGTTTTTGCTTAACGCTCTCCATGGCAACATCAGAGTTTGTGTTTTGGTTTTTCCCCAAGAAGAAGGAATCCCCAGGTATTTTGAAGGAATGTCCCACAAAGGATGCTTAAGGCCTTGGAAATTTTGTCCTTGACTATTTCTGGTATACAAGAGAAAATAAGGCCAGACTGCTAAGATGATCCTTTGTCCTGATGCAATAGAATAGGCATTAAGAGTCCATGACTTCATAAGCCTCAGCTTCATCAGCTGCAAAAAAAGAACTGCATATTAGCAAAAAACAAATGAGACTGGGTAGGAGAGAACCACAAGTTTAATACCTGAATTTCTTTTCAAGCAATTTCTTATGCAGCATCAAGGACAAAGATTCACTGGCTAGCACAAAAAGGTAAGGGGACAATGGGGCCTTCCTAAAACTTCTTTGAGGTAGAATAAAGGCCATCTTTGCCCTTGGTCAGAATAAGATTAGGGCTACAAACATTTCTAGAATGGCTACCATATGTTATCACATGGTTCTCACTATCAAGATTTGAAATACTTGATACCCTCGTCACGGTTCTACCATCCTAAGGACATATATCAATACATATAATATGATTTACGTGATATAGTAGAATATTCATTTTATTGATAAATAAACATTTATTACAGAGTCAATTTTACAATAATTGATTGGCTTTAGGGCACCTACTCTAACAGTTCTTTTGTCTCATATTTCAAAAAAGCACAACCTGCAATAAAGAGAAACAAATAGACAAATATACTATTTTGCAATGAAATAGTCTAGCAATTGTCAAACCGCAAAATAAACAACACATGTTAACAAGTACAACATTTTATCATGACTCTTGAGCTCTTATATTGTTCCTAGATGCTAATCTAAAGCTATAGAAATAATACCATGAAGCAAAAGATGGTTCAATCTTATGGGTTTCTAATTTGGGAGAGATTTTTGATAAATTCAACAAATGAAATGACGAGTGTTGGTGGAAGACAGTGGTCGGCGCTATTGGTGGACGACGATGGCCAACGTTGGTGGTGGAAGACGACGACCGGCATTGGTGGTGGTAAAGGACAAATGGCTGGTGGTTTATGGTTTATTGTTTCTAATTTGAGAGAGATTTTTGGTACATTTAAGCGAATGAAAAATGACTAGTGCTAGTGGAAGACGGTGGTCGGTTTTGTTGGTGGACGATGGCGGTCGGTGCTGCTGGTGGAAGACAGCGGCTGGCATTGCTGGTGGTAGAGGAAAATCGGATGTTGATTTATTGGTGTGCTGTCGTAGGCAACCAAGATTAAAAACCTTCCTAACCTAACTACTGAACTGTAAATACGTTAAGCAAGGGTCAATCCCACGAAGAGTGTCTAGCCAAATTTTCCGATGATGTGAACAAGGCTGGGGGGTTTTGAGTAAAACAGAAAAACAAACTTAGCAAAAATAACAAAAACAATTCAAATCGAAATCAATAATAACAAAACTTGGTCTCAGACAACATCCGCCATCGGAATCTTACAACTGATCATTGATGCAAAATTAAATCAATCCATACCTGAATATTCACCGTTGGAACTATTTTCCTATCTCTCCTTAATTTTAATTAATAATGAAATCTTCCAATAATAACCTGCCCAATTGATTTGCATGACAAGGAAGAATGCTCCAGGACGTCCAGTGCAGATGCATCAACTTCAAGCTCGATTACAACCTTGATGCAGTGAGTATATCTCAGAACTCAAAACATGAAAGTTGTAGATATATTTCTTAGCGTTCTACATCATTTTGAATCATCTCAATCGGAGCTCGGATGAGAGAGTTATGCCCAGATTAAGAAACAACATCGAAACTGTTCGAATTCACTTAATTAGTTCCGTTTTGCAATTAACGCCTCCATTTGCATCCTAAATCAAAATAGAATAATAATCAGTACATTTAGGCAAAAAATACGTATAAAAGACTAAACATTAAGGGGGGTAAATATGACATTTTGCATTTCCATCATTTATGGTTTCTAATTTAAGTGAATGAAAAATGACTAGTGCTGGTGGAAGACGGTGGTTAGTGTTGTTGGTATACGACGGCGGCTGGCGTTGGTAGTGGAAGACGGTGGCCGACACTAGTGGTGGAAGAGGATATATGGCTAGTGGTTTATGGTTACTATTTTGAGAGATTTTTCATACATTTAGGGGAGGCAATTAAAATTTTGAAATTTGTTTTTTTTTTAGGGGAACTGACGTGGCAATTAAGTGAGGTGGCATCTGCCATGTCAGTTAGTATAAGGGTTAATAAGATTTGGTTAGTGTAGATAGCATTACTCAAACCTGGAAAATGTAAAATTTTATGCCTAAATGTATGAACAAATATGTATTTACACAATTTTTTTTTTTTTTTTTAATAATGATTTAGAAAATTAACTTGAAAACAATTTGGACTTGCACTTTTAGATCAACTTTCGTTGCTTATAAAGACTAAAGTATCCAATTAGAATGCTCCAAGTGGACACTTTATTCTATCCCACCAGAAACCACCAAAAATGCCCCATGAAATGGTCTCCAAAATAGAGTTAAGAAAACAAACCTTTACCTTTATGTGAAGCCCAACATACCTTGTTAGAATGTGAAGTTGTCTTGAAATTGCCTTAGGCTTCTGTGGGCCTCCTTAACAAAAGTGGGCATCAATAGTCGGTTATTGAAAAATTGAAATCCCTACAACTTACTTTTTTTTTTTTTTTTTTTTTTTTGTCAGAATGAAGTATCCATTCCTCAATAAACAACCCATACATATGGGAAAACAACATACATATGGCAGCCATAGACTAGAAGACAATCAAACTAATCCAATTGGATGTTAACATGACTTATCCTGAAGACAAATCTTCAATATACTCATAGGGCAAGAAGACAACCAATTCAAAGACAAAGAATCCGACGCTGCTAACCTTGCAACCCATGCACTAACATATTAGCTTCTCTATGGGTCTACTGAAACTCAACTGAGGAACAACTATGGGCAAGGTTGTGTATATCTCTCACAATACCATCAATTTCCTAAAAAACCTTTTCCTTCTTGTAGGCCATAATAAGATCTAAATAGTTTGTTTCTAGTAAGACCTTACTCAAACCCAGATTGGCTGCCAAAACTATAGCTTCTCTAATAGCTAGCGCCTCTGCTACAAGGGGTTGTAACGAATTTTTTTTTCTTGCCCCATTACTAATATACCTCTATCGTCCCTTATTACAATTCCTATCACTCCATTATGAGAGTGCTTCATAAAAGATGCACCACAATTGATTTTGAACCAATCGTTGGGTGGGTTTTGGGGGGGGGGTGCGGTTGGGGGGCCTCCAATTATTACAAACTGAGGTAGAGGTTGGGTGCTCAATCACGTTAACGGAAGGCTTGCAGGATTTGACTTCCATATTTAGCATTTTAACTTGTTGAGTTGCCTGCATTGGATTAATTTTTGCTCCCCAAAACACCACTTCATTTGGCATATTCCAAATTACCCAGCAAAGATTGCTGATAAAGGCTTTGGCACTTTCTGGTTTTTCCAAAGATGATGACAACATCAAGAATTTTTCCAGCAACCAGTCTTCTAGTTTGAGAACCTGTAGGTTTCTAACATCCCAATGGAAATCAGTGGCATTCTGCTTAGAGAGATGAAACCTATATTTTTTATTTGCATGCGTAAACCACCATACGATCAACAACTGTAATTCTAATGAGTAGAGGGCATAGCTTTGTTGGGAGAGAACTTAATGCTGCTCTCTTGATCAAAGTGCAATACTGTACACTACTCTAATATGAAGTTTAGATTGTCCACCTTAACTAAGAGATGGTAGTAAGTTAGAAGGCTAAAATTGTTAAACAAGGGAATTTTTTTTATTTGAGGAAGCAATTAATGCTGATCTAAATGAAAATAATTTTAAGATAAACTTTGTGTAATACCTAGTCTAATCATTATATCTCTGGGTTTACAAAAATTATTGGGATCAAATTCGTGGGATTGAGCAGGAAATTCTTAAACTACTCCACTGCTAAGAATGAAAATTTTCACATGATATTTCAAAGAACAATTAAAACAATACATAGTATAATAAGTTCAGGAAACGATATGATAAACTTGAAATTGAAACTTCTTAGTAAATAAACAGAGAATCATAAAGTCTTAAAGTACTCGGAAGAACATTCCAAAATAACTTTGTCCAAGAAATAACAGAGCGGCAGAAGTCAACACTCATGCAAGATACAACATTAAAGAATTCACAAGATTATACGTTTTCATTTATTTAACCAGATTAAAATTTCCATTCAAACTACGAAAAAAACCGTTAAAACTCGCAAGAAAGAAAGAACTCACACTCCGCCAGCGCCTCCTCCACGACAAGAGATTTGCGATACTTAGAATCGCATAGCTTGGAGTTTTAACGCCGTCTCTTGCAAGCTTCGCCTCCTCCGCCATTGACAATCGTCGACACCCGATTCGCTGGTCTTACATCCTCAGAAGCCATTACAAAAACACACCCTAGGTACGAGCAGTTGTGTTCTCTGAGGGAAAGATCTCAGACTTTGAAGACGATTGGTCGGTCGGATCTCCAACGATTATTAGGCAGCAACTCTTGTCATTTCTCTCTGTTTGCGAGTGGGAGTGAGTGGTGTTGGTGACGGCTTTTTGAGAAGTAGAGTGAGATTCAACTGTGAGCTCTGTGTACGTGTATGTGCGTATGAGTCCGACGGCGTTACATCATGATATGTCTTCGTGTGCATATATATAGCAAATTATCTGAGTACCTACCCTACTCGGGAGTGTGATACAATCGCACTCGCTGTGTTTGTCATAAACGTGGAGCGTGAGAAGTGTTTTTAGTGGGTATTGAGACCCGAGACTTGAGACAGAGAGTAGGCAGGGTTCATCTAACTGCGATCTATCACAGGCGCGTGATTTAATCAATACGTGAAATTACAAGTTTAGACAGTTTATTAGTCAATTTACAACAGAAAATTTAAAGCCATTAAATTATCGTGTTATTAACATTCACGATTATCTACATTTTAACAAATAATAAATTACGTTTAGATTAATTTGGAGGATTTGCTTAATAACTTTAATAGGCAATAAGTTTCAAGTTAGAATGTATCAGGTGATATGGTTGTTATATTGTTGCACCAGCAATAATCCTCATACGAACACCAATAAAGCTTTTCTGTTGTTGTTGTGCCTTTGCAATAACGGAAACCTAAATGGCCTGTACGCCGTCATCTTTGATTTATGGCATTTTTAATTGGTTTCCTTCCCACATAGCTTCAATTAATCCATCATTAGATAGAATTGGAGTTTATATAATATATATATATATAAATTCGTGTCTGACCATTTTATCTGTATCTCAATAATCCTTAATCTATTAAATATCTTACATCCAATATTCAGATAACCACAATGTAATAATGGTCACAAAATAGTTTAAACTCATAAGTTAATAAGGGAACAAACTTTTTAACCACCAGACTAACCCCTTGGGTTATCTATTTTATATATGCAATTCAATTAAAGACATTAATCACTGGGGTTACTAAAACATAATGCTTTAGTATAATTCCGTCTTTAATTGATGCATATATAAATAGATATAATAATTTCCTCACTTTTCTCATTGTTACCACTAGTATAGAATTCAAAGTGATTAAATGTCTTTAATGCTACTATCTCATGTATCTAGAAAGTGGAATGCATATTAGTAGTTAATTATATTGATTTCAAAATGGAAAAGAAGTGATGATATCAGACTGACCTTCACAGAATTTGGAACCAAACCCTTGTATAATGCACCAAACCCCTCATGCCGAACAGTTTTCCGGAATGCATCAATCATGCCATTATATTCTATAGTGGCCTTGCTCTTCCCATCACCAGTGACAACTGAGGAAGCTTCCTTCCATCCTACCATCTGCATTCTTCGACGAATGACATCAAGAGGGTAAGCGACTGTTTGGCCAACAGTTCCAGCGACAGCCCCACATGCAAGTCTTGTAGTTACACTCAACTCAGAATCTTCAACTAGTCCAAAAGGCCTAGCTTTAATTAACCAATCCTTCAGAGATTCATACACAGCAAAGTTGAGACCCACATATGGAATCTGCAAACATGAGTTATAGTATAAGATCCACGTATAACTAAGAAAGGAAAAGCCTTGAAGACTTCCCAACTCCAATTAAAAAAAAACTAGGAAGAATAATACTTACAACTCCAATTACAGAAGGAAGCCAGCCCTTGTACAAAGCCCGTGGACCTTCTTCGCGTAGCACAGTTGACAGAGCATGGAACATTCCCCTGTATTGATAAGGAGACTTATCTGTCTGGAAACATAATACAAATGGGAGAAAAAAGAAAAAGAATGAATCATAAAAACCTTTAAGATGCACGTAAGTATAAAAGGGACAGCTTCTAATAATCACATAAAAGTAAACTCAATTCTTTTTATATAAAAAGAAGCTAATAAGTTCTTCTAAATAGAAAAGATTCACAGCAAAAAGCAGGAATAAAAAAAAATATCCTTCTTCATTGGAGAATTCAAAGGAGATTAAACCAAAAAATAAGTATCTCAGAAAACTTTATTGGAGAACAATTTGCAATTTAAACAAATGGTTTAAAGACGGTACCTGTACAGTTAATCTTCCTCGTACCATATCCATGGGATAAGTAGCAGACATGGCAATTATTCCAGCACATGCTCCAGCTCCAAGGCGTAACAGAGGAGTGAGTTGAGCATCTTCTGCAAAAATTAAAAAGGAAAAGCAACTTAAATAAGCTTCATATCCCTACAAGTCCTATTTGTGTGTAAACATGAAGAAATGCTTAGTATTTTGCAAAATATATCCCATGGTAATAATCAAGTTATGATGTTCAGTCCCATAAAGTCTTGCAATGCACAAAGGAGTATTTGTCAATGAAAAAGAAAATGAAAACAAAAGTAGGCATTACCATTCCCAGTACGCTGTTGATACAATTGCAGTATTCCCCTGTTTAAAATAGAGAGGACCAATCAGCAAAAGGAAAAACTAATCAAATAAATAGTAATAGACAACCCTTTTGAAAACTTTATCAACTTTATCATCTAAATATAGAATAAGAATAGGAAAATGATAGAGTTACCGAAAGTTATAAACCGAATTCGTGCATCGAATGACGTGGCAAAATCTTCACCGTTGATTAATATTAACTTATAATGAATCAACGGTCAAGATTTTGCCACATCATTCGGTGCACACCCTTCGGTAACTTTAGCATTACTCATAAGAATAAATGTAGTAAGAGACTTGAAGGACAAACATTGCCCTCCCTCAAACTATCTAATAGGCTGCATACCAAAATGCTTGTAACAGGTATTAGACATCTTTTCCTCAGCAAAGCTGAATATAAGAAAAAGAGATTATAATGCTTAATTATGTAGTTGAAAGTGATTTGGACCTCATTTTAAAATTCCTATTGTCATCTAGATTTGTCGAAGTTAAAGTTTAGTAAAGAGTGTATACATCAGCTGGAATCATCAAATAATGTATTCCCTGCCTCTGATGGATGAATGCAAGCTTAGCACTGTAAAGAGGCTACAACCACGTTACCTTAACATACATAACTAAATACAACTTATACTTCTTCTGCCTTCTTCTTTTTTTACTTACTTTTGCTAGGACATAACTATACACAACTTAAACCTGATATTTGATCAACAAAGAGATAACCAAAATTGTAGTTCAGTGAATTACACCATATTCACCCTTCAGAGACATTCTGACAAGAAACTGGAATCAAACGAACAAATGCAGCAAGAATTATAAAGAATCGTACTTAGAAGCTTGCTCGTAGCTGAAGAACTTGACAGCTGAGTTTGGAACAATACGAGCACAATTAGTACCATTGCCTTTGAACAGTCCACGAAATCCCTCAGTTCTCCATATATATTTCAACCCTTGAACTGTTCCATTGTATTTTATGCTATGGGGATTCTGAACCTGCATCATAATATGCATTCAACATGAGTGTGTTAAAGAGTGCAATAATACACATCCGGTACAAATTGAGGTAACTAACCTGCAGTAATATTTTCAATCGTTCCAATGGTGCAACAGCCGTGCGAGATCTGCATTAACATGCAAAGACTCAGTTCGGTCAAGATACAACATGGTAATACCATAGCAACAAGAAACGATAAAAGATGCATAACCTAATCATGCTTTTGCATTCTGCTTTAGAGGAGATGAAACCTATATTTTATTTGCATGCGTAAACCACCATACGGATCAACAACTGTAATTCTAATGAGTAGAGGAGCATAGCTTTGTTGGGAGAGAACTTAATGCTGCTCTCTTGATCAAAGTGCAATACTGTACACTACTCTAATATGAAGTTTAGATTGTCCACCTTAACTAAAGAGATGGTAGTAAGTTAGAAGGCTGAAAATTTGTGAAACAAGGGAATTTTTTTTATTTGAGGAAGCAATTAAATGCTGATCTAAATGAAAATAATTTTAAGATAAACTTTGTGTAATACCTAGTCTAATCAATTATATCTCTGGGGTTATACAAAAATTATTGGGATCAAATTCGTGGGATTGAGCAGGAAATTCTTAAACTACTCACTGCTAAAGAATGAAAATTTTCACATGATATTTCAGAAGAACAATTAAAACAAAATACATAGTATAATAAGTTCAGGAAACGATATGATAAACCTTGAAATTGAAACTTCTTAAACAAATAAACAGAGAATCAATAAAGTCATAAAGTACTCGGAAGAACATTCCAAAATAACTTTGTCCAAGAAAATAACAGAGCGGCAATGAAGTCAACACTCACGCAAATTACAACATTAAAGAATTCACAAGATTATACGTTTTCATTTAATTTTCACCAGATTAAAATTTCCATTCAAAACTACGAAAGAAAAACCGTTAAACTCGCAAGAAAGAAAAGAACTCACACTCCGCCAGCGACTCCTCCAGCGACAAGAGATTTGCAGATACTTAGAATCGCATAGCTTGGAGTTTTAACGCCTTCTCTTGCAAGCTTCGCCTCCTCCGCCAGATTGACAATCGTCGACACCGCCGATTCGCTGGTCTTTACATCCTCAGAAGCCATTACAAAAACCAAACCCTAGGTAGCGAGCAGTTGTGTTCTCTGAGGGAAAGATCTCAGACTTTGAGACGATTGGTCAGGTCGGATCTCCAACGATTATTAGGCAGCAATACTTGTCATTTCTCTCTGTTTGCGAGTGGGAGTGAGTGGTGTTGGTGACGGCTTTTGAGAAGTGAGAGTGAAGATTCAACTGTGAGCTCTGTGTACGTGTATGTGCGTATGAGTCCGACGGCGTTACATCATGAGTATGTCTTCGTGTGCATATATATATAGCAAATTATCTGAGTACCTACCCTACTCGGGAGTGTAGATACAAACTCGCACTCGCTGTGTTTGTCATAAACGTGGAGCGTGAGAAGTGTTTTTAGTGGTATTGAGACCCGAGACTTGAGACAGAGAGTAGGCAGGGTTCATCTAACTGCGGATCTATCACAGGCGCGTGATTTAATCAATTACGTGAAATTATCAATAAGAGTTTAAGACAGTTTATTAGTCAATTTACAACAGAAAATTTTAAAGCCATTAAAATTATCGTGTTATTAACATTCACGATTATCTACATTTTAACAAATATATAAAATTACGTTTAGATTAATTTGGAGGATTTGCTTAATAAACTTTAATAGGCAATAAGTTTCAAGTTAGAATGTATCAGGTGATATGGTTGTTATATTGTTGACACCAGCAATAAATCCTCATACGAACACCAATAAAGCTTTTCTGTTGTTTTTGTGCCCTTTGCAATAACGGAAACCTAAATGGCCTTAGTGACGCCGTCATCTTTGATTTATGGCATTTTTTAATTGGTTTCCTTCCACATAGCTTCAATTAAATCCTATCATTAGATAGAATTGGAGTTTATATATATATATATATATATAAAATTCGTGTCTGACCATTTTATCTGTATCTCAAGTAATCCTTAAGATCTATTAAATATCTTACAATCCAATATTCAGATAAACCACAAATGTAATAAATGGTCACAAAATAGTTTAAACTCAGTAAGTTAATAAAGGGAACAAACATTTTTTACCACCAGACTAACCCCTTGGGGTTATCTATTTTATATATGCAATTCAATTAAAGACATTATAATCACTTGGGGTTATACTAAAAACATAATGCTTTAGTATAATTCCGTCTTTAATTGAATTGCATATATAAAATAGATATAAATAATTTTCTCACTTTTCTCATTGTTACCACTAGTATAGAATTCAAAGTGATTATAATGTCTTTAATGCTACTATAACTCAATGTATCTAGAAAGTGGAATGCATATTAGTAGTTAATATATATGGATTTTTTTTTTTTTTCTTGGTTAGAAGTATCCATTCCTTAAAAGACAAGGCATGCAAATGAGAAAACAACATACATATGACAGCCATAGACTAGAAGATAAGCAAACTAATTCAATTGGATGTTAACATGGCTTATCCTGAACACAAATCCTCAATATACTCATAGGGCAAGAAGACAACCAATTGAAAGGCAAAGAATCTAACGTTGTCAACCTCATGCGCTAACATATTAGCTTTTCTACGGGTCCACTGAAACTCAACTGAGGAACAACTGTGGGCAAGGTTGTGTATATCTCTCACAACAGCATTAATCTCCCAAAAAACTTTTTCCTTCCTGCAGACCATAATAAGATCTAAACGGTTTGTTTCCAGTAAGACCCTACTCAAACCCATATTGGCTATCAAAACTATAGCTTCCCTAATAGCTAGCGCCTCTACTACAGGGGGGGTTGTAGCGAAAAAATTTTTGCTTGCCCTGTTAATAACATACCTCTGTCATCCCTTATTACAATTCCCATCACTCCATTATGAGAGAGTTTCATAAAAGTTGCATCACAGTTGGATGGGGGGCGCGCTCTAATTATTACAAACTGAGGTGGAGGTTGGGTGCTCAATCACGTTAACAGAAGGCTTGCAGGATTCGACTTCCATATTTAGCATTTTGACTTGCTGAATTGCCTGCATTGGATTAATTTTTGCTTCCTGAAACACCACTTCATTTTGCATCTTCCAAATTACCCAGCAAAGATTGGTGATAAAGGCTTTGGCACTTTCTGGTTTTTCCAAAGATGAAGACAACATCAAGAATCTTTCCAACAACCAATCTTCTAGTTTAAGAACCTGTGGGTTTCTAACATCCCATTGGAAATCAGTGGCAAACCAGACCAGATGAGTCCAAGCGCATCCCAGAATAAGATGTTCCATCGATTCTACAGCATCATGGCATATTGGGCACAAAGAGTCTGAAGCTATTTTCTTCTTAAATAAATTTTCTTTGGTCGAAATTGCAGTATTGCAAAGCTGCCATGTAAACACTTTTATTTTTGGCAATGTCTGTAAGCCCCAGATCTCATTCCACAGTTGTTTGTCAACCACCTGGAATGTTGATGTATTGTTATTTTTGCTAGGAAAAGCCTCCTCCCTGGACTAGTGATGACTTGTCTTCACATCATAGTTGGTCAGGATCAGAGTTCCATTGGACTTGTGAGGCCAAACAATTAGGTCAAGATCAGAGTTCCGATTTACTGGAATAGCTGCCACCTTTTTTGCATTTTTAGCCCCATAAACTTCAACTAATTTATGATGATCCCAAGATCTACCAGTCAAGGAAAACAGCCCCTTCACTTTCTGATATGTTTGTACAATAGGCTTAATGTCCTGCATTCTTGGTGGCATCCAATTGTCATCCATAATTCGAACTGAGTTGCCATTATTCACCTTCCAAATTGCTTTCTCCTTGAGAAACTTCTGCCAAACAACAAACTCTTCCAACCCCAAGAACTATTCTTTTTTCATGTTGCCTCCCAAAAGTTTTTTGAGGGAAATATATGGCTTTCAAGATTCGCACCCATAACATATCAGGATTTAATAGAATTCTCCATGCTTGTTTACTCAACAAAATCTGGTTCATTTTGTAAAAATCCCTGAATCCCAGGCCCCCCTTCTTTCTTCTTCGTCTACTGTAATTTTTCTCTCCTCTTCTCTTTCTCTTCATCTCTTCTTCTCTTTCTTCTAATCTTCTTCTTACTCTTTCTCGTGTCTCCTCTTCTCTTTCTTCTTCCCTCCCCTTCCTTCTTCTTCTTTACCAGTAGATTTTAGTGTAAGTGTCGTCAACAAGCATTGAAGATGAAAATAGAAGATAATGAAACGGTGCTGAAATTGGTTTAGGGATTAGGAATATGAAATTTTTGGATCAGACGAACCGTTTTAAGCTCCAGGCCGGTCGGATCAACAGTTTTATACTATTTTGTCTGTCCATTACCGGTCCAAAACGGGTTAATTAATATTTCCGATTTTGTGTTAACTCGGACCGAAGTAAAGGCCGGCTCCCGGTCGAACCGGCCGGTCCGGTTCGGGTTTTAAAACAAAGAAGGCAAGCAGGATGAGAAATTTCATATCCTCAAAAATTATTGATCCTTCAATTTGAGTCAAATTGTGGCCACCCGACAATGAGAATTGAGATTACTTAAATTTGTCCAATTAGAAAATATTGACATAGTTATTTGTGTCAATATTCTTAAAAATGATTGTATTTCAATGTTTGATCCCAAATGATCAAATATTAATATATGCTTTATATGGTGTCGATAAATCAATACCACATTAGATACAATAAAAACTCAGAGATATATAAGATTTTTCTCGAAAAAATTACCTCAACAATATACATATATAATTATAATAAGTGTTGAACTACCCATACAAAAATAGATGGACTCTTAAAGATTAGGCCTATTTTTCAACTCTTTACACAAATTTTACTAAAAAAAAAAAAAAAACACTACATTAATTTGAGCAAGGTTCTATAATTAAACTAGGAGTTGTTGTTGCTCTCTCAATTTATTGCTCTCCTTAAACCTATTCCGCAACTCCAAGAACGTGTTAACAATCCTTTTGATCTTCCCATGAAGACAAAACCAATAATGCTTAATGTAGATGCAAAAAATCTACCATTATGAAAATAGGGTCTGATCACATGGGATTGAAGCCACTGACAATTTGCTAGACCTGCACACATGGAAGGACAAGCGTGAAGCTTACGGAAGACACCGAAGTGGTGTTTGTCGTAGGCACTCCGCGCTCAAGTCAGCAAGGCTAAAAGAGATTATTTGATGAGAATTAAGGAAAAGAAAGATTATCAGAAGTCTTGTCAAAGGCTAGGACTACGGCGGAGGCGTCGGGTTCTTGGGAATAAGAACTTTAAGAGCAAATAGATGGTTATAAGTAGTGTAGATTGACTATGGGAGATTCCTCCCCTAATGAGAGGGCAGATCTCTGTTTTTATAGTAAACCCAAGGGGTTGGAATTCTAGTAAGACACTAAGTCCTATTTTGTAAGATAATCCCTATCAGGAAAGAAATATGATTTCTTGACTTTATCAGATTAAGTTTAATAGTTTGAGTAAGATTTGGAATCTTAGTAGAAGAGAAAATAGAATGGGACTTTGATTTCCTATTTTGGACTGTTGCAGGCTAATGGGCTGAAACCCAGTTTAACTTAACTTATAGGATAGTCCAACTCGTAGAGTGGATAGTTCACAAGGTGATTTTAAGTGTAGGCCCAATCAGGATTGGGCTGAGACATTGAGTCGTGACATGTTTATTTCGTTATTGGGCCTCGTCAGGCTCAAGACGATTTTTTGCCCCAACACTTAACCAACATTTTTTTTATGATAAAAACTCTTTATTATTGAGAGTCTATCAATAAAAACAAGAGTTTAACATGCTCTTTATCATTTAAATATAAATTAAAGAGTAATTTTGACTCTTCACATCTAGAGAGTCAAATGTCACTCTTTATCCTAATTTTAATTAATAAACTTTAAGTTTCTATGCATTTTATTTATTAATTTTCTCTCCTATTAAGTCTCTTTCTTGACATCTTTATTAAATTTACAGAGTCTATTTGATTTGAATAAAAATTTTATTCTTTATATTTAGAAATTAATGAAAATATTTTTTATTTATACGAAATATGCTTTTTCAAATAAAGAGGGAGTTACTCTTACATCATAGTAATAAACTCTAGGGGTTTTGTAATATTTTACCGCTTTGCTCTAAAAAAATTGTAAAAACCGGTGTTCTAAATATGATACGACGTCACTTTGATGTATTAGCTAATTTTAATAATAGCCCGAGATTTTTAAATCAAACCCCCGCGTTCCAGGTACCGGACTTTTTATCACTTATTACCTGATATTATTTAAAAAATTAACACTTACTACCCTTATGTGTGATGCCGTCAAAGAAAAAGTAACGGTTTATAAGTATTTTATTATTTTAGCCTTTGTCGTGGTAGGAAAACAGTAATGACTATAATATCTTAAATAGAATTAAAGAAATCGCATGTCCCCCTTTGCCCTCCCAATGTCGTTGCACAACTTCTTCTCATCTTTCCTTCGACAACAACCCACCCTCGTACCCCGTTGCAACTAGATCCAACCTCCCCAACCGCTAAGACATTATGGGTAAAGTGGAAAATTACCTTGTTACCCCTAAGTTATTAGTAATTATTTTTGACGGTGTAAGACGTGAGGGTAGTAAGTGTTGAAAGTCCCATATCTGCCACATTTGAATGATGTGAAAATCTAGGGTTGGTTTGTGAAATTAGCCATTACAGAAGTCAATAAAGGGTTTTACAAAACCTCCATCGCGCGATTTCTTCCCCGGGAATCGCACTCTGAAATCCGCATTCTTCATCTGCCGGAAATAGCCGCCGGAAGCTTCTCGCCGTCGTCGCTTTACCACCGGTGGGCGCGAGGTTATGCCTTTCTCCGCCGGAGAGGTTTGACTTCTCCCAACACATTGTAATATTCAATTTTCTCATGTTATCTGATCAAATTTAAAAAGATTAAATTTGAATTTTCAATTAAATATGAGCCGATTTTTTACTCTCGTTTCGTTTCTTACCGTTTCGCTTAACTTTGTATCATTGTTATTGTTATTTTAAAGATTTGAAATTAGATTAAATTTTGAGTATTTCTAAAGAAGAATAGCTGTAATTATGTTGTAAGAGTGAGAGTTCTTGAACTGGAACCGAGTGAAATTGAGAACTTGAGTGTCCAATTAGCGTGGCGACTTCTTTTTCTTGTGAAGCAGTCTTAAAAAATTTTGTTCTAATATTTTTGTTTTTGTTTTATTGATTTGTGCTAGAGGGGCAGTTACAGAGTTATAAGAAAACGAAATTACGTCCTCTTCTCTTATAGCATTTGGGGATTCGATTCTTGATACGGGCAACAAGAACATTTCACTGCAAACAAGAAGGATTTATTGTGGAAAACCAGTTTTCTTTGTGTTATCATGGATGTTGTAACTTCAGCAGTTGAGAAAGTAAAGGGGTTTGCAATTTCAAGCCAAAATTTCGTTAACGGCCTTCTACATCGCCCGCAAAATTCATACAGCCACAATCCGGTATTTCTCTCTCACTTTTTCATTTATTGTTTATTAACATTGTATGCTGTTGCATTCTTGCTCTTATTATTGTTCTACTATAAACCCTTGTTTATACCTTGCCCAAAACACCAATCAGGTTGTGTTTAGCTGAAATAAATGAAAGAGGTGTAATCTTAAGTGCTAAAATAGTGGGAGCAGTTCTCGAGAAATCAGACGACTATTGGTTTGGTCTTTTTTGACTTGAGTCCTTTTTTCAAATTGGGTGCAACTCTGAGGGCTATGGTTTGAGACTTTGAGCCAAGATAGCATAAAATTGAATATGCCATCCTTTTGCTGGTGATGTAGGAGAATTTAAAGTTAATTTTGACTTTCCTTTTGTAGTCCATACTTTCATTAGGATTTAGCTAATGAACGTTGCACCATAAACCCTTTTTCTATGCCCGGAAGTAGAATGGATCAATTTCATTTCAAGAATGTACGTATGTTAGGCTTTCTAGAATAATTCTTTATACATGATGTACTAGTACTCTTAATTTAAGGTTTGGGACAATGTTTAGCCTCTTTTCTTAACTAAAATGTTATGTAATTTCACAATGTAACTTTACATAGGAGAACATTTCATTTAGATTCAAGCACACATATATTTTATATCGTGTTATAAAGTCTTGAGAGCTTGTGAAATATGGTCTGTATGTACATTTGGGATCACAGTTTATCTTTGACAAAGTCGGTGCTTCCATAGGTAGCGACAAACTGCATGTTGGAGCTTTACAACTCTTCCCATGGCATTATTTTCAGATTGAAATCTTGAAGCGGTTGCAAAGAGAAGCATTCTCAGATTTGATGAAACTCAGAGACAGACAAGACAAAGTTGAGCGAGTGCTTTCCTTCTATAAAACATCCAAGGGAAGTCCATTCCAAGAAGCTAGTACTCATGTAAGGGGAGAAGTTGATTTCCTGGGAGGTATATTGATGATGAGAGATATTGATTCGCAAAATTTGGATGCACTTGATAGAGCAGGAGTTAGGACTGGGATAACTTCAAGGTTTATTTTTGAAACAAGTCTTGGGCAGAATGATAGTCTTGTAGCAGAGTTGATAGCCAGTGAAACAGGCAAAGGAAACCTTGGTGATATTTCAGGAATCCCACTTTCTCTCACAAAACTATTGTATACAGCAAATGTTAGTGATTGGTGTTCGGCAACTGCAATACCAGTGGGATCTCAATGCAGAGATTTTGATATCACTAGGAACTCTTTCCAACAGGTATTATCTGTTCTTTATATACACCTCTAGTAACCTCAGTTAGATTAACATTAAAGATCTTTCGCCTTCATATGAACTTGATTAGAGATCTTAAGCTGGAAAGAGAATGCACGTATCCTGATTCTTAATCTTTGTAATTATATTCTCCGGATGTCAAAATGTAGGACTTTTCTGCAGTATTATTTTGTCATTTATTTGTTTTGTTTCTAAGAATTCCTCTATTTGACAGATAAGTTAACTTGACTTATCATTTTTCCTTAGCGTGGTTCCATTTTCATTTTTGGAGATTGCAACTCTGTGGAATCTAGTTTTAAGTAGGATTCTTGGGTTCTCCATTTCATCACTTCAGTTGTTTTGTCATTGAAATTTTTTACTGCTCTAGATGATTTAGGTAATTAAAGAGGAATTCTTTTTTTTGTATGACAGGAAAAGGCCTCACTTATATTTCATCTTTTGAGCCACCCCTATTGAGTCAGCATAATGGTATGCTATTGGCGTAACAGTTAGAAAATCAAATGTTTGTTGCATCGTTGGCTCAATCTGTTTCTGGCCTGAGAATGCCCTGGGTTCTGATGGATTTGGACACTGCTTCAACACTTTTGGGCAAGTTGTTTGTCTGCTTCCAAGGAATAAGACTCTCTCTTATGGGTCTTCACCAAGTGCCTAAAGTACTGGATCACCGTCTCAGTCTCGGAGCCCTTACATTCCAGTAGGCTTTTTGAAGCAGCACAAGTCTTCTAGAGAATGGTTGAATCAGCTGCCGCTGCTCCTTGTCTTTGAGAATAACACCCCGGAAATGCCCTCAACTGGATCTATTGCTCTGAAGCTGGAATCAGAGCTTGATGACAGTACAAAAGTTGGAGTTTGGATTGAAGTGCAAAACTCAACTACAAGCATCTCCGCTGGGCTGTCACCGTGTCTGATAATCCCGAAGATGATATAGGATGGGGAGTAAGTCTCAGTGGGATTGAGGTCCTAGAGATGGGACCAATACCAGTTTGAATCTTTTGCAGATCTTAGTGTTAGGGAAGAATTCAACTTGAAACCAGGTGTTGCATATGTTGGATGGAGATGCCAAAACACTCGCCCTTATGCTTCGATGTAACTGGTCTCTCTGATTACCCTCGGGTTCCGGATATCCTTTTTGTATATTTTGTAGTTTTAGCACCTTCTTTTGAGTAGATTTGGAGCTAGAAGAAAAAGAGAGAAGTGTTCATCACGGTGGGATGTATTTTAGTCACCTACAAGATCTAACTAAACTGGTCTGAACACCTTATTCTAAAATATCATATGGTTATCAGAATATTGTGGCTCGTAGTCTTGTACTACAATTAATATTTTATGTCATCTATAATTTTTTATAATTCTCATTTATTTTTATAATTATATTATTGATATATATTAAATTAAAAAATAATTGACATGTATATAATAATTATGGTACGTTTGATGTTGTACTCGGACATACCAATATATGACATGTACTATACTAAATTCGTGGTAGGGAAAATAAAAAAGGTAGAGAAATTACCTTCGTCCAAGTAGTGCGGAACCTTCAACTTCAAATATCTGAAAGTGGATCCGAACGAACCATCTGGACTTGGAATTTAATTGAATTTGTGGTCATGACTCATGACAAAGACAGAGAATTAAGGGCAAAATCAGAAAGAGATGGCGATGAGATTATCTTAAAAATGCATGCAGTCAACGGTAGCTTTGTGGGTCAGTCAAGATGATAAGGTGAAATTGATGGGTGCTGAGAAATTATATAGGTGAGGTTCTTGAGAATTCAACTACACCAAGTGCTCTCATCAATATTGCTTTCCTAATCACCTCTATCATGTGTGACGATAGAAACTCTTTGATATATTATTTAATAGGCAAAAAAAATTAGATTATAAGTATTTGAGATATATTTAATGGATCTCTCAATATGACAACATTCATTGTGTAAAAAATGAATTTATAAATAAGAAAAATCTTGATATAAATAATACTGGATTTCTCTGTCACGCTATTTGAGAAACGAAATGGGTTGGCCCAGAACTATTGTATGAGGCACATATAATAAAAATCATACAAGTATTTTTCAGCTCAGAAATTTGGGAAACGAAATGGGTTGGGCCAGAGTTATTGTATAGAGGCACAATATAATCAAAGTCATACTACCCCTTTAGTGGTGTTGGAAGTGTAGAATTTACCAAAGGACATATATAAATGGAATGTTGTCAGGTGATAATGGTTGTTGTATTTGTTGACAGCAGCAATAAATAATCACACGACCACCAATAATGGTAAACGCATCTAAGCTTTTTCTGTTGCTTTTGTGTCCTTTGCAACACGGAAACCTAAATGGGCTTTTGACGCTCTTCTTACCGGGGCTTCATTAAATCCTATTTTCATTACACAGAATCAGTTTTTTTTTTTTTTTAATACCAGGGTATTTGGGCCAGTTTACGTATACTTTAATTAATCTCCTAAGCCTATAAAGGTCTTATAAGTCTAATTTTTTTATAAGTCACAAATATGATAGGAATCCCAAGGTAATTTAAAGAAGTTAATAAATAAGAAAACTTTCTCATTATGAGGCCAATCCCTTAGGATTAATCGAAGTTCATATTAGGTTCGCTAAAACATAATGCACAAGTACAATTACCATTGTGTTGGGCTTGGGCAACATTACCCTCACTTACCACCCACCCTTAGATCTTCGTACAAGGTATCTCTCCATCTAATCTTAAATTGAATTTCGTATATAAATGGATATAAATATTTCTCACTTTTCTCATTGATACTAGTATATAATTTCAAGTGATTATAACTTCTTCAATGCTACTCTACTCATGTATCTAGAAAGTATAATGCATATTAGTAGTTAATAGATAGAATTTGTTATTGTTTAAGTAACATACTCTTTCCCAGGTGGAATAGGTCGGGCCGTTACTGTGCTTTCAACGAGTACTAAACCCAAGCTTAAGGCCTTATTGTTTGAAGAGACAAAAGCCAAGCCCATTTATTGAACGTTCGTGCAATGGGCTTAGGCTCATTTTATAAATTGTTAAGATTTAATATTACTTGATAGGCAATAATGAATTGAATAATTACCTGTAGTCGAAACCGCATAAAATAATGAGAAATGCATCTCCTTAGTAATTTTTCAAAGATGCTAATTCAAATGAAATGGAGGGTAAAATTGACAATAGATTGAATTGGAATTTTCTTACTAATGAATGGAAAGAATATATGCACGCTTGAAGTACTTTTTAAATTGTACATATAAATTTTCAATTTCAAATTTGATTAGTGCTCCACCTTTTCAATGCAAAATTAATATATTAATACCTTATTGAATAAACACACACATAACAACAATAAGTTAGTTAATAGTTGAATTGTAAGATTAATTTTAAATTTTTTACAATTTATCTAGAAACCACAAAGCAAAAGTTATTGTTTTAAGTGCATGTATGTTCACTGTTTAACTATAGAATCAGGACAAACCATAATATATGACATGACACAAATAATATAATTATATATTTATATGATACAGTTTGATGTGATAATGAATATAACCTTTACTTAAAGTCAGTAATACAATCAAATAGAATGATATATCCTTAAGTTTGTCTTCTATAAATTGCGGCTATCCCGACAATTATATAAAATAAAAATAAAAAAATTATCCTTTAAATATTATAACTAACAAAAAATGGAGATCTTAAATATATAATTATATTTTATATGATACAGTTTGATGCGAAAATGAATGTAATCTTTATTTAAAGTCAGTAAGTACAATCAATAGAATGATATATATCTTAAGATTTGTCGATCTATAAATTGCGGCTATCCCGACAATATAATATAAAAAAAATTTAAAAATTATCCTTTAAAATATTATAACCAACAAAAATGGAGATCTTAATAGTGAATTGAAATATCATAAATAGGATCAATTTGAATCTTCAAAGCCAAGCGATGACAAAATTTTAATATTCTCAATAATTACTTCTCCTTCCATTTGGTCAAATTTGCGGCTTAAGATTACTTAAATATATCAAATTAAAGAACATTAAAAAAAGAGAAGCAAAAAAAAAAAAAATAAAAAAAAAAAAAAAAAAAAAAAAAAAAAAAAGGAAAACTTAAATTGATAACAAATTGAAACAGCAACAGACGTAGTCGTTGAGACTTGACAATAGCTTTAAAAGTGCATACACAAGAATTGAAGTCCCTCAAATCGAACAAATAAAATTGTGGCCGCCAGCCCGACAACGCGATGTGGTTTTTCTGGTTTTACCCAAATGATAATTACCCAAGTCAGCCATTAGAATAATTTTCAAGATTTAATTGAATTTGGCATCTTATTTGCTGGACGGGTTTTAGTCACAAGGGTCCCATCGCATCATAACTACATCTGGACATGCATGCAAAACGGAGCTAGCGAGGGGAAATGGGTTCATGAACATATACTGTCTATGACAGAAGTCACTCACATTAATCAACCACGTACACGGAATCACACTACAATATTCTCTTTTTGGAAATTTCTGTAACCCATCATTAAATCCCATACAAATATTATGTAATTATTCAATTAACTCCATATAGATTCATTAATAAGCAATAAATATAAATAAACGATAATGCCGACATCGTATTCATATAATAAGGTCCTAGGTGGTTCCTGTGTCGGTCTGAGCCATGTGCAACCTATGGCTATAACATGTTCTCAGCCACGTGGGGTAGTAGACTTTTAATGAAAATTTTAAATACAGTTTTTCAATCAATATTATTAATTCAATTTCTGAGAGATTTTTTTAATCCACGATCATGTTTTAACTTTAAGATATAAGATATTTTAAAATTTACACCGCATTCAATGGTTATAAATCTTTCATTAATCCAATTATTAACTAGATATTTCCACTGCTCGATTGATATCAGTTCCTATTAATTAAAATCTAAATTAAAAAAGAGTCTTCTTCTTCTTCTTTTTTTATTTAACAAACGTGAAACATCATATGTATATCTTATATAATGAATAATTATATTCTTCATTTAACACTATGAGTGTATTAAAAGATAATATATCAAACCCTTGTTGGAATATTTGAAATATGAGTTGAGCTTTAACTAAAACACGTAAAAGAAGAGTTGCTTTGCTAAGGTGAATGCCTTTGTTTCAAGGATAAAAGGGGAATTGTGAGTATGGACAAAACCAAACTAATTATGCCTAGACTAAAAATGAATCAAACAAGTAATTAATGATTTTCTTTTTTAAAACAAAATTATGATAATGTGTTGGTATAAATTTGCCAGTGAAAATGTGCAACTTGATCCGTTTAAGAAAAATCGGCCATATTTGTCGGCGCTGATGGTAGTGCTTGATGATGAACGTGCATCACGTTTAAGCAATTGTATCCTTTTCCCCACCTCAGGTGATCCCCCCACTTCTTTGTACCACTTTCTTTACGGCCAGTGTACTGTTACTGTTCAAACGTCGGCCTAACTAATTACAAATTCTTATCTCAGTAGCATTATTAATGCACTTAATTAGGCTGGTTAAAGCCTCGCCATTGCATAACTTCTAAGATTATTAAAAGACCCATAAAAGGGTTTATTCCGAGAAATCGAAGACTTTATATGCAGATAATTAATGTGAAAGTTTCTTTTATTAGATCATCGGGTTGTAGTAATAAAATCCAATTGT